ACGTCTTCATCAGCGCCGTCACTTCATCCTGCTTCTTCTTGTCAGCAGCCGCCAACCCTTGGTACACAAGGAAGGCATCTCCGTCAAGAAACAAAGGAAAGTTTTTCATTCTCTTCGTCTCGTCATCCCATCCTTGGATTTCCGCCATGACCAGGTATTTGGCCCAGAACTGGTCCCAGCTCTCCGTGGCCTTCCCGCGAAATGGCCTCAACAAATTGTCCACTTTCATGCTTGCCATCCTTGTGACAAACAATTCCTCTCACTCCTAGTACCACAAACAACCTCCGCTAGTCGAGCTCCCGGGTTTCGGCACCACGCTGTTGACTAATTTCCCCCCTTTCCTGAACCACGCTGTCAGCACACACTGCCCAAAGCAACCACAGGTCTGAGGGTAAAATAAGTCTAAAATGGGAAAGCAGTATACGCTCGGAAAAGTAATCAATGCACGAAGACGAGAGAGGAAAGAGTTCATCATCGGCCAAACATCTCACCGCGGTCTAAACGCAACTAACTTAGATAACGAAAAGGAAGAGGATTAGTCGTAAGCCATGGAAGCATTGACCTCTCAGAGCATTCCGCGTAACCGGCTCACAAAGGTGTGCCATCTAATGTATGGTAGTTCCTCGAACAGTTTCTACGCCGGAGGAAGAAAAGCACCTCTAAACTATGTGGGCAGTCATACATGCAAATGTGAACAACAATGAGTCAGCGGCTAGCGGCAGCTACAGCATCTAATGTATTGGCAACCACTGACACAAGGTTTCGGAGAGACCTTCTAGAAAGAACCAAAGCGTCTCATCATAACGTGTAAACACAGCTTCTAACAGCCACATATACGCAGAGTACATTGCTGCTGAGTCAAACACAGCTGGCAGGCACTGTAGCCTAGGATGATCACCCTCATTATTATGATTATGCAATGTGTACTACAGAAGTAACTTGTAATCATCCAAACCACAGAATACACTAAAACTAGCACTGTTGGCATGTGACCTGCAGGTACTGCACGTTCCTATTAGCACAGAGTACAGAGCTGGCTGGAAGTACAGTCACGCAATTCCACAACACGGAGGTGAAGTCAAGGAAGAGAAAATCTTACTTCCAATACGACGACGAAGTGAAAGCAAGGATTGGCCGATGCGCTAGTACTAGTGTACTGTACATATACTACCGTATTTCCCCGTAAGTTAGTTCTCCCCAATGACTTAGTACCCCCCCCCCCCCTATAAAAAATACACTTTCCACTGCCGAGGTTATCACCCCGAAAGACAGTTCTCCCCGAAAGATAGTAAGTTCGTACCCGTCCTACATGTACAGACACCGTACAGTACATACATCATATGCACGGACACTAGAGTTGCGCAGGCTTCCCACTGCGTGTCATTTACCCCCGATAAAAAAGTACTCCCCGAAAGATAGTACCACCCCCGAAAGTTAGTACTCATGTGGCTGCTAAGTTCGAAAGTTAGTACGTACTAACTTACAGGGAAATACGGTAGTAGTAAGTAGTAGTAATACTAGTAGTAAGTAGTAGTAATACTAGTATTCTAGTACTAGTAAGGCAATTTATTAGCACATGTTTTATGATGTTCTCTCGTACTAGCACTCATAGTATACACGGTAGTGATGGTCTGTACATACAGTAGTAGAATGCAGGATCAAAATGTGAAGAAAAATGCAAATCGCTAAAATCAAACGTCGCTAACCGGTTGACAATGGGAAAACGCTAAAATTAATAGTCGCTAGAATTACCCGTTCTACAGTACACACAATGAGCCAGCACATGCAGGGTTTTGAAAGCGGCTTTGTTTGGAGTGTTGTTGTTATTTTATTTTACTTCACCAGATTAACAGGCAGGAGAATGCCTTCTCACTAGACCCTGTCCAGTGTGGTGATGTTTAAAGGGGAACTCCGGTCCAAAATCACCCCCATTTTTTATTGCGGAATCCATTAGAGTATGTCGTAAGTGGTAGAATGGCGAAAACCGGAAGCTTCTACGACAAGGATAACATACCTAAATTACCAATTGCAATTTTCCATATTTGGCACGAGGGGCCCCCTCCCACCCTGTGACGTAAAACGTTCTCAGCCCGGTCCACTCAGATGAAATTTTCAATAATTGAAGCAAGAATGAAAAGTCCTTGGCGATTGTTGAAGTGCTTGTTGTTCTGTGCCATGCCCGATTTATTGTCACGACTCGCTGCTGCGTCTCTGGATGCAACAATGTCACGAAGAAAGAGGCGCCTGCGGGCTGTCGTAGCATGGCTTTCCTCTGGCTGACGCGAACCTGACGACAGCTTGGCTATGGAGAGTATGTTGGAAGGATTTTTCTCCGACGAAAAATAATCGTGTCTGCACTGAGCATTTCACTGAGATGTGCTATGAAAGAGATTTCCAACAAGAGTTTGCACAAAGCATTGGTGGCTATAAGCAGAAGCAGCAGCGACGCTTGAAGCCAGGGTCTCTGCCATCCTGAAACTTGGCGGTGCATGTCATACTAATAGTTAGTAGCTCCTCTACCTCTGCTGCCAGCAAAAGCAGACCATCTTCGATTTACTTCCAGGAACGTGAGCACGATGAGGTAAGTGAACGGCATGATTTTGTGCCGTCCAGAACGTAGCTCTAAACGACTACAGTCCTACTCAAAGTCCTCTACTCAAAATCCTAGTCAGTGAAGTCGAGAATTGATGTAATGTACATGGAACGTTATCATGTGTGTTATTTCGGTTCTCTTTATCTGTAAGTTTCCATTGCGTTACTTTCCGGTTGCAGCTACACTGCCACAAATACAAGGTACAGTATGATTTGTAGTCTGGAAATTTTCCATGCTGTCATACTGAAGTGGGCACAAAAACATGTCCACTTTTCGTACAATGGCATGAGAGCACGGGTACAGTCGGCATGTCTGTCCCACAATGCCAATATTGGGAGAGCACACGCCAAAACCAAGGAGGGTGTGCTCAGGTACAGGCTGGAATACACCAAAAGAACAAAGTGGCCAAGAAGCTGCACGACAATGTCCTGCAACTTCTTGAAGGACCTGTTGAACGATGTGCATACAACCATTCTCGGCATTCGCAACGGCACACGGCACCGGCACAACCCCATGCTCCCGAACGCAGTACAGTCTTGTGCCATTGTATCTGTCAACTTTACCAGATTGTTCGTGCAGCTGCATTGGTGCAAAGCATGCGCCCACCCGAAAACACAAATATTGCCCGAGTCAAGAATAGTTATAAATCGTGTCTGTCAACTGTTTTCTACATTCTGCATGCACATGTACCAATGATTATGTGAACGTCAACCAGGCCAAGAAGCATTATCATCATCATCATCATCATCATGTCCAACTGCTTCCTCAAAGCCCCAGTGCGCATCTGCATTGGCTTCTGGTACAGCTGCTTTATCTTCGATACCACGCAAGACGGTATCACACGCCGCTGCTTGCGTCCAAAGTATCCATGGGTGAACCATGTGTATTGTCTATACGCCACATGTCTCCAAATCCTGCACAAAACAGTTGGAGAGATGTAGATACACATACCACGAGTGTCTTCATGATTGTGTAAAAGTAAATAGTTTCAGTGTAAATAGTTTCGGATTCGAGTTAATATTTCTATGGGCTACTATACTAAAGACACTTTGGCCTTTTTTCAAATTTACATCACTTTTACACACAGTTGAAACACTTACAGTGCTAGGAATAGTATGAATGAAAGACATCGTTGTACCAGTATAATTATATTGGCATGGGTGCAATAGAACTTCATGATTGTGTGATGGAAGTTGGTGAATTCGAATACTGTACACAAAATCATTGCACAACACTTCCCATCTACTTTGTACCGGTACATGAAACATGGAAAGAAAGGAAATAATGAAACCGATTCAGTGAATCCTCACCTGTTTGACCACGGTCCACACCTTGCCCGAAATTCTTCGAAGGAAAGCAATGCCACCTCGAGCACTGATTTTTGCAGGCAAACAACAGCAAACTCTGAGTGCTGCGTGACGCACTGCAGCCCTTCCTGCTCGCCGCGTTTACTGAAAGCTGCAGGAACCTCCCAGCAACAAGTCGACTCGACCTCGCTCCACATCATGCTGCATTGTCCGCAACGGCATCAAGCAGTGCTTCTCACGCGAGCACTTGCAACCAAAGCGTTCTCTTCACGTTCATCTGTTTTGTAGTCTCAGAAATATTACTTGTAGACAGTTTCGCAGACGCTGATGCGCGCTTCGGCTCGAACCTAAAAGGCCTCGGTGTTGTTGAATCCGAAGTGGCGTCCACCTCCACACCTCCCGTGGTCTCCTCTTCCTCCAACATGATGATCGAATGAATACTAGTACAAGGGTTATTGATTGAAGAAAAAACAGTGAATACCTTTTTCAAAATTTCTGCAGGTGTACCATTTGAATAAAAAAATTTGGAGGTCACTGAGAACGTTTTACGTCACAGGGTGGGCGGGGGCCCCCTCGTGCCAAATATGGAAAATTGCAATTGGCAATTTAGGTATGTTATCCTTGTCGTAGAAGCTTCCGGTTTTCGCCATTCTACCACTTACGACATACTCTAATGGATTCCGCAATAAAAAATGGGGGTGATTTTGGACCGGAGTTCCCCTTTAACTGGAGAACAGGAACTGATCATTTCGAATTGAAATTCATGCAAGTGCTCGCCGCAAATCATCCTTCCCATTCTGCCGTGCCTTTGCATCTGTCCAGAACTCATGATCGTTGTCTTGATTGCACATCACCGGGTTTAGACTTTGTGCAGAGTTTTTGAAGCTGAGAATTTTCGGCTGCACGCCTGCTGCCATTCTAGCCTCTCACCCCAACCCCATTCATTGCCTTCGATCTTGTGATGAACCCTGTGTACTTTGAAGTGTGTTTCTGCCTATTGTAAACGTGTAGTAGTAGCAGCAGCAGCAGCAGCATTGTGTTGTCTGGTGATATGGGACCAAGCTAATGTTCGGTGTCTTTGTTGTCTCCCTGCCATACAGATGTGACAATGATAGCAACACGGGCGTATATTGAGTCTGTCTACGTGATGATTTTGGTGAGGAATTTGTCAATTTGGTATTGCTGATGATTGTGCTTGGGCCTTTGTCAACATCACAGTTTTTTAAAAGTTTTTTACTAATTTCATCTCTTAGTCTCATTGGTTTTGTTTGTCTTTCACGTTACTCAGGGTGAAGCTGACAGCGGTTGTCGGAAATGGATGAAGGAGATTCACAGGTACACTTGATTATTTGGCCTCCTGTTTTGTGTGTATGTGTGTGGGGGGGGGGGGGGGGGTGCTTAATCAAACCCTCAAGTTGGACACTGAAATGGTTTGGACGACATTGTGCAATGAATTTGTGAGTATTACCAGCAATTTCGAGTAACCGGCAATTGCATGTATTCATTTTGTGCCGTGGTGTCCCATTGTAACTGTTTGTTGTGTGCAGATCTCCATCAGATGGGGAACTCTGGAGTGGCCTTGGAAGGTATATGATGCAATCTAGAACATCCATCTCCAAGGTAAAGACATTCACAAATCTGACGTGCTCGCTGCCTGCATAGTTGCCGATGATAGGGTATGTGTGTGCACGTGAGTGTTTGTGTGTTGCCTGTGCATAGAGGGTTGTTGTGGGCATTGAGAGAGAGAGAGAGACAGACAGACAGACAGACAGACAGACAGACAGACAGACAGACAGACAGACAGACAGACAGACAGGGACAGACAGAGACAGGCAGAGAGACCGCATTCTTAAACCCACGCTTGCTGCCGTCACACATTCTCCATCTTAAAGTCCGAATTGAATTGCTGTTATGTTGCCTCTGCTGTCCAGTGTCATCACATCACCGCCACTGCCGCGCGCATCAAGCCGTCACTAGCATCGGTATGTTAGCACATGCCCTGTATTTCTCTTGACCTGATTTTTGGGAACTTGATCCACCGCCCTTTTTTAGAATGCTGTGTACATTTGCACTGCACTGTCTTTTCCTCAGATGAATGTAGCCTACTTTGCTGAATGGTGTTGGTGCTACCAGACTATTACGAGTGGTTCATGTTTCCCAGGCCTCTGTCTGCCCTGAAGACAATAGCATTGTTTGGTGTGCTGCTGTCGTATGGGTACTTGATTGCTGTCGGATTGTTCTTGTTTCTGGTCCTGCAGTCCACGCAGCTCATCTCATCTCTCAGTCAGCTTAGCCTGGGCGTGGATAGTAGGGCAGCCTTGCGCACGGCGCAGAAAGCCGTGTTCTCGTGTCCAACGTCGTGCTACGCCTGGGCGGCACTGGCAGCCTGTCTCGGTGCTCGAGCTGGTGCTAGTGTGGATGGAGACAACCAGCAACAGCAGCAGCAACCGCAGCAACAGCAGCAGACAGCTGTGGCGGCTGCAGCAGCAGCATCTTCTGGTGATCCTTACTGGGATGACAGCGAAGGCGGTGGTGGTGCTGCTGCTGCTGAGAATGTGAAGGTGGACACTGGTAATGTGCCGCACAATGCTGAGGGGAAACTTGCTGATAGGACTCCGTTAATTGCAATGTGCTACGTGAAGGGTGAGTCAGTCAGTCTTGAGTAGTCTATGTGCAGTCCGGTCCACTGGGGGGGGGGGGGGGGGGTCTGCCAGGATCTAGTGAATTCTTGAAAATGAAAGCTACTGTAGAAATTCAATTGTCCATATTGTCGTTAATTTCCTTTGGTGAGAGGAGCTGACCTTTTAGCAAGAGTCCCCGCAACAACGGAGACGAAAGTACGTTCCTAACAAGGGGTCGACGTTTGACTTCTAAGGGAAGGCTTCGCCATTGAACCAAAAATTGCACTTCGACATTAGCAGCCATTATACCGTTCAGTCAACTAGCTGCGTTATGAACGTGTGATCAGATATTTTTGTATACCTTTCTTTGAATCTTTAAAAAAGAGAGTGGGCAACTTTAGATTGGTTTCTGTGTGTTTGACTTGTGTTTGACTTGTGTCCTTCTTCTGGACTTTATCGGTGCTGCCTCGTGTGTGTTTGTGTTGTGTGCTGCCCAGTGAAAGCCATTGTCCAGCAGGTCCAGCAGCAGGACAAGCAGCATGCTGATATAGGTAGCTGTATGAATGTGGAGCACACACAACTCAGATCAGCACAGGAGCTAGCTGCCTGGATGCTGGTCTACTATCACTTCGTTCAGATGCGAGCCAGCGGAGCTAACATGCAAGCAGAGGAGGTACGTTATTGCAGGAGCTACTGCTTGTTACAATCTATGGCATGGAAACCCAACGAAATGATTTGTATCACTGCATGCTGCAGAGGGTTTTTTCAACAGCAAGCAGTTCCAACGGCAGAGTCCTAGCTTGTACATGCTATTGGGTACACGTAGACTGGTGTATCAACTTATCATGCCTAATATGGCCTCTGCTGGCCCAAGGATTTTCACAGTTAGCAGCTACTGTGGCATGTCTTATTTAACCCACGGCCACTGAGGTGACATTCCGGATGACGCAAATATTCCTGCTTTTCTGGCTGTTTTAAAATCTCTCCAGGCAACGTTCCTGTCCACGTTACCGTTGGCTGAGCGAGTGGAATTGCGCCTGCGCTTGATCTCCCTGCTGTCCGGAGCAAGTCAACTCATGGCGTCGGGACCGTTGAACGCAGCGCAGACTGCAGCGGTGCGGCAAGTGGTGGTGGCTAACGCTGACAGCCACATGGCCTGGCAGGTAGGGGCAGTGAATGTAGGGATACGTCTGCATTGCCCTGTTCATCGTCATCATTGTCATCATCATTGTCATCATTATCATCCAGTACCTCTACGGCTGTGTTGGGGTGTCAAAGAGGCAGAAAAGCAGCTCTCACACCAGCAATCTCAGCTATGTACAATGCCGAACAATGAAGACAAATATTTTGAGCAGACCAGTTACAAATACATGTATTGTCTACCCAAGTTAGCCTAGGATGACTGCGAGCATGTGCATCCTCAACACAGCCCTGCAACACCACAGCGGGCATAGAATTGCCGTAGACAACATGACCAAGCCACTAGATGTTTTCCCACAAACGAGAACAATAAAGCGTGTCAGTTGAGCAATGAGATTGTGCCAGTTTCCATGCTGACCGAAGGCTATTTCTACAACAACAAAAAATGGATCAGTTTGTGCTTCCTATCTGGGTTTGGGGAATATGCTAACATGTCTGCAGTGGTGGCCGAGTGGTTAAGGCGATTGACTAGAAATCAATTGGGCTCTGCCCGCACAGGTTCGAATCCTGTTCACTGCGATTGGTTCTCTTTTTTTTTTATCAATCCTCTGATGAGCTGATACTTTTTCTCTCGTGTATGACAGCCATGAGTTACTACATGTAGTATGTCCAGACCTATGCCTTTTTCCCGATCATGTAGGGCATCGGTGTTCTTCAGCGCCCAATCTAACTGTACTAGATATACGGGTACGTGTTCGCATCGCCATACCCATTGGTGCAAGGCCAGTGCTGCGAAAGGAGCTGGCTTCTTCTCGGATTGTCGTAGTTTTTGTCCAGGGTAGCTTTGGATTGAAATCCAAATTAATTTGTTTCTAGCAGGGTAATACTGGGTGAAATCCAACTTAATTTGTTTCTACCAGGGTAATACTGGGTGATTAGGTAGCAAATCTTTGACCCTTCTATTCTTGCATGCTCGTGGCTGATATGGAGGTGATCGAAACTGTATACTAGCATGTGACCCTTTGAGTAGCTGAAGCAATTTGAAACAAAAACGCATTAAGCTCAAGGTTGGAACGGAACACTTCTAACAATATTTTTTGGTGCATGGCTCACAGTTTTATGGCGGCCTCTATTCTCCGGTTGTTCGTTTGTAGCTGGATGTTTTCTTGGGACGAAGATGGAAAAATGCTTCAGGCTCCCAGACGAGCTTGTGCAGGGGCTTTCAAGTTAGTGCTATGTGTCGGCACATGTGCATGTGTGTAAATCGATCGGCTGAGTGTGCATCCGTGTGTGTGTGTGTGTGTGTGTGTGTGTGTGTGTGTGTGTGTGTGTGTGTGCGTGCGTGTGTGCCTGTGTGCGTTGCCATATTTCCGATTCCCTGCCACAGTGCCTTGCTTTCTGTTATAACCTGGCTGGCTCACCGATTGCAGCAGAGGTATGTCTTCGCCAGGCCATTGTGGCAGCAGCTCAAAGCGGGTAAGCACGCAACATGCAACCACGCAACATGCAACATGCAACCTGACTCTCTTTCAATCTTTGTATTTCAAGTACTTCAATCTTTGTGATTCAAGTATTTCTATCTTTGTACTTCAAGTGTTTCAATCTTTGTACTTCAAGTATTTCAACCTTTGAGTCTTGCTAGAACTGTTGCTTAAGTTGTGATCTGCTGGAAATATGGTTGCACACTTCACTTACCCTTGTTAACTCTATGTATGTGTGTTTGTGATTCAGGACTAGCAGCGCTGTGATAATGCTGCGCCTCGTCCTGCTTGGTCTGCAGCAGTGCACTGTGAGTGAATTCTCCGCTGGCTCTGTGTGGCCGCGCCGCGTTCATTCACTCATGTGTACACAGTTAGATAGGCACATTCATGCTTCACTGACCTGGAAACTCGACTCCACAACGGACTGTTGATTTGTCTATGGCCTATCGACATTTGACTCGAATAATTTTTCAATTTCACGAATTATGCAGCTGGGTGGGGTGTGCATGTGTGTGTGTGTGGGGGGGGGGGGGGGCAGGGGCGGATCCAGGAATTTTTCAGGGGGGTTCAAAATTTTTCGAGTGCACAGAATTAAATTTGCTTCAAACTGTTTTCGGTCCGTTCACTACACCGGGAGTTGCAAAATCTTTATTGTCACGGTAGCCCTTGCATTGCTTGGCCAATAAGACAAGGGTAATGCGTTTAGAGCCTTACAAAGTACAAAGCTGCAGCACAGGCAGAAACTAAGGCCGTGACTGCAGCATTTTCCGAACTGACGGAAGGCGAAGTTCTCTGACTGTCCTCCGGCTGGGACTCCGTGTCGTCACATTCGCGCCGTACATGGCGGAACGAAGCCAAGCTCAATGGCAACTGATCGGCCGCTCGCCTCTTTGGCAGACGTCGCGACATGGCAAACTACACGACAAACACAAACATTATCTTCGTACTGCGACGGAGGAAACCTACAGTCCAGCCAGCGCGAAATAAAACAAAACGACAAGGAAGGAGGACAAGTGGCCGTTTTTCCTCCTTTTGCTCCACCACTTGAACTGTCGATCGTTTCAAGTCACATGATACGCGTACAGACCCTTCGCGTACAACAGTCCCGACCACTGCATGCATGCAGTGACCTAGTACCTGCACTGCCTGTACGTGACTACTGCATGCATGCAGGATTGCCAGTGAAGTATACTGGCTACGCTGCGTGTACGCTACACTTCGCTGACTGCGCACGTGGAGATCACAAAAAAATCGACTGGATCCATGGTCGAAATTATTCTAGGGAGTTCGTCCGAACCCCCTGAACCCCCCCCCCCCCCCCCCCTGTATCCGCCCCTGGGGGGGGGGGGGGTTGGAGGGAGGTACACATACATGTGCTAGTAGGCTGAACAGTGACATCATTATGATGACGTGCGTGCATGGACAACGTTGTGGCCTGCATACCTATCTGGCATCCCTATGCCATGGTTCTGTACATGCCTGCTGTATATCTCACAACTTTTTTTAAAATGCACTATTCATGTACGCACTTCTCTATGCATGTAGATGGGCAGTGACAGTGAGCGGTGGATGGCCTTAGCACAGGAAGCTTTACGAGAGGTAAGCTGCAACAATAGAAATGGTTTTCTGGGTGCGTGGGGGACAGTACTGAATGCAACATTTCTCCTGGCAAAGGCTTCTGGCAATGCTGGATGAGCGTCTTGTTGTGTGCTAACGCTGGTGTCAATGTGTTCCAATGCTGGCCCTGCACTGCACTGACGTGTACTGATGTAGTACAGATGTACACGTCGGGACCATTCAGTGTATTGAGACCACCACTGTGCCTCGTTGTTTTGCTGATGATCACTATTTCCTGTTTCTCTTATGATCTGTATGCGCATAGGCACAACGGTCACCGCAGCAATCCATTGCACCTCATCTGCTTCACAGCATGGTCATCTTTCACTATGGAAACGCCAAGTAAGGGCTAGATACAGGGTCGAGACAGAACAAAATAGCATGCGGTTGAATTTAAATCTCGGATGTTGAGTATTGGCTTGTTGGTCCTTTCCTTTTTCTACTCGAATTTAAATGCAAATCATTGAAACTTGCTGACTAGCCTCGATAATGCGCACTCGTGAAGTATAGAGTCCTACTTTGAGAACCATGCATGCTTCCAAGAGTACATACCTCCCAGAAGTGTGCAATAGGCGGCCGGGAGTGAATCCCACTTTGTTTTGTTAAACGTTTTGCAGTAGCCCGAGTCGTCTCCCAAAATGTTATGATTCCCTGGTGTGTGTGTGTGTGTGTGCACACATGCATGTGCAGTTCTACACCCATTATATTACTGTGGGTTGTGCAATGATGTGCAATGATATACAATGTCTGATGTGTACTGGTGTGCAATGATATGCAATGGTGTGCAATGATGTACAGATTTGCCGGTAGACTGTTGAACGGCCTGCTCACACGCTCTGAAGGTACCGGCGTGTACCACCTGGTCCAGTACTATGCCCTCCGTGCACAGCTCAAGCTGAAGAACTATGATACTGCTAAGGTAACGCTAGCCACGTTTATTATGTCCAGGATAGAATCCTGAATTCTGTACTTGCTTGGTGATCGGTCGAGGGGAACCCACTGCATACTACAGTCGTGGCTAAAGAAATCCGACCTGCGAGTCAAACGTGGCGTCGTGTTTCCCTCTCCATAACATCATGCACGGTCCAGAACCCCATCCGAGGGCCGCACGGGCCTTGGCACTGCTTTCGCCTCCCGGATCGGATTTATTTGGCCGCGACCGTACCATGTCTACCCAGCTGTGATATTGTTCTTGGAAGGGGAGCTGCTAGCTGTGAGAGCATGCACAATGCTCAGGGGCGTCGAAAGGTAATTTAGTGTGGTACGGTCAGCCATCTGAAGTACAATTTACTCGTGGGTGAGGGGTGACCGGTGGCTGAGCCGAACATTTTGGATTAAGAGCCCAAATCAGTGCTTTTTATTGATTCACTGGTACTTAGGTCAAATAGTGGTACAGTCAATACCGTAGTGTCCGTACCGTGTGCGACGCCCCTGATGCTTATTCTGGTGGCGAATAGTTACATTATTGTGGTCAGTATCCCAAACAGTTCCAGTATGCTTTTTCTGTGCTATACGTTTGTGCGCGACAGGCACTGCTAAAGGACATGGAGCGAGCTGGTTCGCCGTTCCACATGACCGCCTTCCAGATGTTCCAGTCTCTCAGCTGAGCCTACCCTACAGTGCCCCGCACAGTTTAATGTGCTTCACCAATTCCCACTGGTCCTATTTTCAGAGTGCGAGTTTCTTTGAGATGCATGATTGTGTTTGGAAAGTTGTGTCGTTTAGGAACTTTTAACGCTCATTCATACGCCATTGATTTATTGTGAACGATTAGTGTATTTGATATGTGCACACGAACACATTGCAACAGTGGACTCCAGTGTGAAATTGTACATGCACTTGAACGACCACCTCAGAGCCTCAAAGCCTCTACTATCAGTTTTGAGTGTTGCTGGTGTGACCACATGGCGTTGTAACGTTATGTGTCGTCAGTCTGTATCTTTGTGAGACACCACGTGGCATGGCAGGAGGATTCCCTGGGCAGCACGGCCTTGTTCCTGCTCTGTTGCATGATCCACCCTACTCTGATTTCAATAATTATGTAGTTTTCCCTGGTAAGCATGCCTTCTGACTTTGAGTGCATGTCACCACCGTCAACAGCCATTCCCAACCGCATAACGTCTGGACTGCAAGCTAGCCGTGGGGAGTATTACAATGCACATGCAGTGTCCTTAATTAGTGTAACATGAGTAATGAACTAGTGATATGTGTTCTGCGAAGACTCTTTGCCTTGCAGGAGTGTGCAACTCCATACTTCTGAATCTAATCTGTAGTGTATGGGATACATTTTTGGTGCCTAAAAACTCATACTGTGCAGTGGAATATCTATTCTTGTTGCCTGTGCCCAGTGCCTTTGTAGAGAGTGACAATACAATACATTATGTCACATGTATAACATAACTCCCCAAAGGAAAGTGGCTAACACCCATGGCAGCAACAGACTGTGGCTTCTGGCCCGAGTCTTGTGACCCAGCATCCGTTGCCGCACTATTGTACGTATTACACCGGACGCATAATCTGGAACTGAACCATCATTGATATTTCCGTACAGTTGTGCTGTACATGATTGTTGTAAAATTAATGTAATGACATGTCAATGCAGTGTAATTCTAGTCTGCATTGACATCAAGCTACATACTTTGAAGACGAGTACATGTAGAAAATAATGACTGTAACAAGTCAAAAGAATTCTCTGTCTCAAGGTCCGTCACGGGCAGAAAGGACCTGATGAGCACAGCTTTGCTTTGATACTCAAGAACGTTTCCAAGATGCAAGCAGCCTAATGCAGTTACCACCATCTTCTCTCGTTCACCACATATGCACTCTGCCCCAGCAGTTCACCTCAGAGCTTCAGCAAGCGAACCAAGGACCTCACTTGCTCACCACAGGTGGGGCAGAAAGCGAGCGACTGAGCACAAAGCGCACAAGACAAGTGGCTGCAGGGCATGAGAAAATGCGAGACCTTTGGAGCATTGCATGACACACACGCTTGGACTGGCTTGGGACGTGGAGCAGGCGCTCGTCGCTGCTGTTGCCGGGGAAAGCCAGTGTACTGCTGATAGTCACCTTGTGTTTGTGGAGCAGTATGAGATGTTGACTTGTACTCAGGTGGGCCTACTGCTGCCGTGCTGGCAGGTGATGGTGACATCTGCATTTGTGGAGTAGCCTTGTCTGTCCCAGATGATAGTGGCGGTTTAAAAGAGTGTGTGCTAGACCAGGGCATGTCAGAGTTGCAGTTGTTCTCTCCTTGGGCATGCTGCTGCTGCTGCGGTGGTGGTTGTGAATCGATTCTACCCAGAGGTGATATTTGCGGAGTCGGTGGTGTTGGTGGCACCTGCGCTACAGGTTGAATAAAGGGCATCACAGGCGAGTATGATCGCTGAGGCAGACCGCCTTTCCGTGCAATGTCAGACACCTGCCTGGCAGTCCTCTTGACGTGCCTGTTGACACGACGGTAGAACTCTTCGGCATAGACAGCTGGGTTTGCCGGGCAGTTCCGTCGTACGTGCTCACAGCCTGGAGACTGCTGGCGGTGTCGACCCCACGCCGTCTGCCCTGGTCGCCAGTGCCTCACTTCCAGTTGGCAATACGCACAGAGAACTACATCGCCGACGTCCAAGCTGAAAAACCCAGCATCCGCCAGCTCCTCGCCCGAGATGGGAACGCGAGTGTGCCACGAGTGGAACGTAGCAGTGCGAGCTGGCAAGTCTTGTAGGCGTTCTAGCGCCCCAATGGCCGGCACTTCCAGTGGCACGTTACTCATGTCACTGCCGGTTAGCTGTGGACATGAAGGCATCTGCACCATGTGTGCCTCACTGACTGACCTGCCAGTGGAGTAGTGCTGAATGACTGCCTGGCAGGAAAAGCATGTCAGTTTGGTACCTTCGCCAGCATAGTAGAATCCGGTTGCAGCTAGTTTTCCAACACAGACTGGCACATCTTCGGGCCAGTCCCGGAATGTTGCAAATCGTACCTTCTCGGTGGCCATGTCATCTTCCGCCACTTCGTCGCGTTCAACATCATCCTCCGCTTTCTGGCCAATCTCATTCTCTGGACATTGTCCGCGCACAAGCTTGCAGAAAGGTGAACGAAAGCGGTGTTGCCTGTGCAGCGCTGCCTCTTCAACCTGCTCACCGTCCATTGTCAGCTTGCAGAAAGCACACCGCACAATGCACCCAAAGCCCGTGTGGTAGAAGCCATGTTCTGCCAAGGCAACAGTCGCCATGGCGGCTAGGCCACTCACCCGCACAGCGGCGGTGAACGAAGACAGCCGATAGTGCTCGCTGAACATCCCTGTCCTGTTGTTCTCGTGAACGTCTCGCACTACTTCACCATTGTGTGTGACAATCTCGAACGCTCTGCCTTGCTCCAGTGTTCGCAGGAAGGGACACTGAGGGGCACGCTGTCTGTGCACCAGAAATGGACACTTGCTCGAGCCAGTCATCTCGTCCGTGGCTACAGGCAAGCTGCAGCTCCAGCACTGCAGGATATCATCCGAATCGTTCTCAATCTCGCCAGTGCTTGCAGCGTCAAACAGGCTACCGTCGCTAGCTGAATGAGCATCAATGTCGTGAAAACGAGGTTTCCTGTAGAAACCGGCGGCCGCCAGCACGTCAGGTTCGATGCCATCCTGGTCAGTGCGAAAGCCCTGGAATGTGCCCAGACGTACCTGCATGCTCTCATACTCCTGAAATTCCTGCTGGAACTCTATGTCGAAACTGCCATCCGAGTCAGACGAGTAGCCGTCTGGCGGTGTGTGAAGATCCTGGAAGGTCGTGACCTCCCTGTTATCACCGGCCAGCATTGCCGTGGCTGCTGTTCGTTTCACTGCGGAAGGGCACTCGGGCGACACCAGCGCATGCCATCGGATTGCATTTTCCGCTCGCAGTTCCACGTCAGCCTCAAGTTCAACGTGGAACGAGCAAGACGAACAGCGCAACAAACTCACCACTGTATCGCTAGCAGTCGTTGCAATGTCCTCTACGCCAGATCTCCGCTCTAAATATAAGCCTGCCGCTGCCAATTCCCGCTGATCTGCCATACCGGAGCCCCACCATTTGGCTACAGCGCAGGGTGGACTCGAGGACAGATTGTCGCTCGGCTCTGCAGCAGCCATAGTCAGTCACGATCCGGTTCGCTGGACTATATCCTACGGTTGATAACATCGACCGAGCGAGCGAGGGCGGGTGTAGACCAGGTCGATCCGACGCAGGAACACGATCAGTACTGACAGTAGGCACAACAGCACATCTGCCCTAGGAATCTTTTGTCCGTTTTGAAAGCAACTCATCCACAGCACAGATCACGCTGTCATCGTAGCAGGCATACAGTCTAGAGTAGTTCGTGCTTTACATGTTCAGCCGGCCATCCAACAACGTTTTCAGGTATGTGTGTACGTACGTGTGCGAGTGACAGGCGATATTCTGTCTGTAGAGTCGGAAATGCCCACCTCAACTCAAGGACGACACAATCATGCTTGACTACAATGATCATGACATGTCGAGTGAAGACTGAAGTAACTCACTGTCTTGCAAACTGTGCACAAGAAACTGTAAGTACTGGAAGCAAGAGTCCATTGGTTATGGACTCTTGCTGGTACTGAGTCTAGTACTGAGTAGATGTCTACTAGTAATAGCAAGAGTAGATAAACAAGAGTGTGCAACTCCGGATCTCTCCTGCACAATCTGCAGATACCCCGCGCCCATGCACGGCGGAATTTTTTTTTTACGTCACCTTTTTTCAGAGAAACGCAGCTTTGCCGCAGAGCAGTGTGAGAGCACGTGCTGGGCACCGACCTTGTAGTGTAAAGCCCAGCCAAGTGCACGAGGGAAACTCTCCAAAAGGCTCGCAGCGCGTGCGTCGTCAAAAAGATTACGTCAACAAAAAATTCCGCCGTGGGCCAACCCATCCGCGAGTTGCACACTCTTGTTTATCTACAGTCAACTTCGCCAATAACGACATTCGGCGGGGCATCAGAAAAGTGTCCTTATTCGCGAAGTGTCCTTATAACCGAAGTCCCATTTGAATGTATGTGAACCCATATTTTGTATAGTATGACATGCATATCAAAATCAAGCTCTTTTCTTGCTCTATGTCAATGTGTACTTTATTTTCATATTGCAATTGAAAGGAACTAAAAATTCAATATGCAAGGGAAATCAATTGAAAAATATGCCTTTTTGAGCCATCTACAGGGCCAGAGACATGTACATGTACATGTATGATGATTACTGTACAATCATGTACAACTACATGTACATTGTATACATAATGGTGTGCTGGTAAATCCAACAATTTTGAAGCCAACATAAAAAGGAAGAAAAAGCCCCCCCCCCTTGGCTGCATTTTCTTGCATGTGTGCCTTTATAATAATTATTTTAAATAATATCCATCACCATGGAACACGGAACACCCGGAACTCACTCAGTCTCCCACGCGCTGCCTCCACCCTATTCACTAGATCCCCGATCTTTGCTGGCTATGTGTTTTGGGCAACATTACCAACGCAGGCCAAGACCAGCACGTCGATGGATAATTTTGTTGCTAAAATCTCTGCTCAATTATAGGTTTCATGTATATCCTGCTGGTTTGTCTCCTCCTTTGCCTTCTTTGCCTCTTATTTGTATTCTTTTATCTGTTTTACTGCTGTGGTTGGCTTTCACCCTTGTCTCAGTTTTATTGGCCGTCATCATGATGTGCCATGAGATAATGATATAAATACAAATACAAATACAAAATAATGGCCATAGGTTCTGGTACTTCTGCATGACAGGTACAATGTACATGTACTTGACTGACAGGTACTTGAAATACATGTACATGTAGCTGTCAAAAGCCCAGAAAGTCGTTATTCAAGCAGTGAATATGACCTCGGGGCACTAAAAGCATGTCGCTATACGCGAATTGTCGTTATTCAGATAGTCGTTATATCCGAAGTTAAATGTATACAGTTAGATGGGACTTTGCTCTGGGCATGGAAATTCGGTCGTTATTCGCGAATTGTCGTTATATCCGCAGTCGTTATTAGCGAAGTTGACTGTACTCTTGGTAATAGTTACATGACTGTACTGTATTTGCAAGAGTACATACCGGTAACCATGTTACAGTCAACTTATACTTCGCTTATAACGACACTCGGCGGGGCATCAAAAAACGTGTCCTTATTCGCGAAGTGTCGTTATACCCGAAGTCTCATTATTATGTATTTAGTTGGAAGGGACTGTGCTCTGGGCATGGAAATGCTGTCGTTATTCGCGAATTGTCGTTATATCCGCAGTCGTTATTAGCGAAGTTGACTGTAAACGGTTATGTACTCTTGTTATTACTTATTATTAGCCGTGAGTCAGTGAGGATATACCCATACATCTTCACAACACTCTCCAAACCGTCTCTGGCCAGTACAGTCTGGGCTAAACCGAAGAATAAATATAATATATTTATTCTTCGGTTTAGCCCTGCCCGAAAATTCGGATAAAATAATATTATTATTTTATCCGAATTTTCGGGCAGGGCCCATCTTCAGGAATCAGTGACCTGTGTGGTTGCAGAGAGGGCAAGTTACTACAGTGTAGTAGTAGTAGTTCGTAGAAAAAATGTATCAAGTGTGAATTTGTGATGCACACAGTGTCCCGTCCCCGCCCCGGCATGTGTGTCTTGATCAGTACTTGATAGGTTCTTTTTTTAAAGCATATGAATTACCTGTATGATGCACTTCATTCTTCAAATCAAGTTATTAGGCAAACTGAAAACGATAATAGCGTTATCACTTTATCACGGTCACAGTTACTGAGCAAGTGGTGAGAAATTCTGAGCAGCAAGCTTTGCCAAAAAAAACGTGGGGATATGTGCCCTGGGCAGTTTTCCACCAACCGTGTGCAAACGTACGAAGAAACTGCCATGACTATGTACATGTACTGTAAGCAGCCTAGGGACTTTAGACAACCGTCTACATGTACATGTACAGGTATGTAGATATTATTATATATATAACCCCCCACCTTGTTTCATGCTGTCAATCTAACAATATGTATGTAGATCTAGTCTCAGCCTCTAGTTGTAGCATTTCTGCATGAACAACACTGTATGTGGTACAGTAGCATGACTGGTGAACAGTCAACACCCAAAATAAAAATTAATCATACTGTGTTAGTAGTTGTTTGTATTGTGGTGACTTTATCGCCTTTAGTCAAGGCCACCTACGTAGCTACCGCCATGTCTGCTGTAAACAGACTGCAACTGTTACTTCCAGACCTAGTACTACTGCGAATCCAGGGAGGGAGCAAATCCTGGGGCAGATAAGACCCAGGGAGTTTAGCAGACCCAGGGTACATGACACACACACATATACATGTATGTCCAATGCACACCGGCATCTACATGATACATTCTGTTATCTGACCTGCAGACCCTGTGACCCTGTGTGATAAGAGCAAACCAACAACTACTGTGGTAGTAGTACAATAATTATTAGATAACTGACCTTGTTTTAGTTCACACAGGTTGTTGGTTTGACAGCATGAACTGACAAGGTGGAGGTCCTCAGGACACCGTGTTCAGAAACAGTGACCTTACTACAACCATCCACGATTGGTAGAGATGGACCCAGCGGACCGGGCTCTACCAACCGTGGATGGTTGTAGTAAGGTCACTGTTTCCGAACACGGTATCCTCCACCTTGTTTCATGCTGTCAAACCAACAACGTACGGTAGTACAATGTAGTAGTTTGTCACACTGTACAGGCAACCATAGCCTTGGTGAAAATACTGTACAGGCAACCATAGCCTTGGTGAAAATACTGTATGATCCGATACGAACACTATTTTCGTACACTACTAGATCGAAGTTTAATAGTTAGACTAACCATAATAACAAGCTTGCAAGGAAAGCCCGGGGGGGGGGGGGAGCTTCACGAGCTTTTAGATGTTACCCGCAAGTACGGCCTTCTCGGGCGGATAGAGGAAAGACTGAAAGAAACTACTGAAGTATCTTGTAAACCGTTCTAACTCTTACCATTCTGATATACTCTGTAGATGCTAAAACTAAAGCAGGAACAGGTAAATTAACAAGATAAAAAACGAGTGTTTGGTATACTCAAGAAGAACATAGAGAATACCAAGTCCTAGGCTATAGTCGCCATGCACAAGTGGTGAACTGGGTGTATGGACTATGAAGAGCCATGATCAGCGTGATAGAACGCCTGTTACCCCAATACATCGTATTGGCATAAAAAAAATGGTGAAAATACACTGATGAAACTGCCGGTAACAACAGATACCATGGGAAGTTGGGAACGATTGCGGCATTCACTGGAATTTCTTTGTCACAGTCATTCATAAGGTTGAGGGCAGGGAGTCCAACTAAAGGTTTGTACAGTGTACTTCAGTTTGTACGACTCGGCCCTGGGTTGAGGGAGTTGTGTGAGAGTGACTGATCAGCCCTTCCTTCTGCTCCAATAGTCCAAGCATTGATCAGCACAGTAGTGTGGTAACACTGGTAAGTGTTCGGTGGAAATCAGTTGGGGGGGGGGGGGGGAGTAGCAAGTACCAGAATGATGTTCAATGTATCGGTGAATACCCCCCCCCCCCCCAGATCATTAATTTTTTTGCCTGTAACGGATTCAAGTAAGTGCCCTCGTCAATGAACAGACATGCACTCGGGCACTGACCACTCCCCCCCCCCCCCCACACACACAAACAGTGACATTCAACCAACCAGACAACCGTGCATGGTCACGGCCTACATGTTACAGTCATATCATTCATTGGAACCCCAAGCTGGCTAACGCTACATAGTAGTCTATTTTTTCCTTCAAAGAAACATTTTGGCGCATGCGTGCAGTGCACTAGTGCAGTGTTGGGGCATCAGGAGCTACGTGTACATTGTAGACCCACCACCATTCATGCACTGGGTTGCTGGCCCATATCCAGGACCATTGAAAACAAGAAGGAACTCTCTGCTTCATGTTGATGACCATAAGGTAATTCTACATGACATTGTAATATCCATCAGTGTGAAGGAATGAAACGGGAAAGGGGAAAGTCTGAAAAAATACAGTCATTACTGGTCACCAGGTAGGCCCTTGCGGGATAGTGCTCAACGACGTACTGTAAGACGGGTAACGTTTGCGACAATAAATGTTTGCGCTTTACAAATTGAGACTGGTATGCGCTGTTTAATGTTTGCGAGTCGTTCTACAGTCGTTCTACACAGTCGAGTCAGTCCTTGCATTGAACTTTACATGGCGCGAGTTTGCGTTGTTCAAAGTTTGCGATTCGGGGCCTCTCGCAAAATTCGCAAACATTTTTAAGTCGCAATAGTTACCCGTTTTACAGTAATTGGCAGATTCCTCGAAAGCTGCATTGAAATTGGCAGAACCGTACAAAGCTGGTACATACATGTGTGTCCAGTAGTGATGCCCAGATCGTCATGGTCGGCAGACTGCCCAGTGGGCTTGGTATGTAGATCTACCACCCACTCCACCATTTCCCATGGAGTTGGTACTGGTAGCTGCTTGTCTTTGCAGAGAATGCATTTCGTTGAAAAAAAATAGAAACTTGATGGCGGATGATTGCTCGAATCGCTGCTCCCAGGATCCTCTTGCAAACATGCATGAAACATATCAGCCTCCCCCCCCCCCCCCCCCGGGCTGTTCTGCCATATTGTTACTGTTACCGTGTGTAGGATATGGCAACGCATGCTACATGTACTTCATTATCAAACGGCGTCTCTACCGGTGCATGAACTCACTGCTACAACAACATACCGTTTATTGTGCTACAGACCATTAATTGATGTAAGACTACCAACATAAATTTTAACTTATAGAAAATAAAAAGGATCAAGGAACTACAGGTGATGCTATAATGTCCACTAACACCACCAGTTACTAGTTACTAAACAATCAGCTCATGCGATAACATAATGCACAACACTGACCGAGGGTTCGGTTCCTTGCTCCTTTTTATTTTCTATAAAATTTAATATTAATCCTTGGCTCCCCATCCGTATCCGAGTCCATCATTTTTTTTCACTATTAATAAACTACTGTACTGTAGCTGTCTCGAATGCTGCTTGATCATGTTGTGCCATCATAAAATTAATAATAGGAACAATGTCAGTCACAGAATGTGATTGTAGGCTACTGTCTGTACTGACCCATACTAGGCATAGGCATAGGCCATAGACATACATCTACTGAGTCTGTGGCTCTTCCAGTTTGCTTGTCATTCTTGCCTTCACTTCAGTGCTCACTGCTCACAGAGTCAGTCGGTGTTGTGCAGTCACGGCCTCCCTTCTCTGCAGCGCTAGCGGGTTCTTGCGGGGCCGTGCCACGGCTAGCAAGGACCATGATTACCTACCAAGGCGGGTTTTTTACCCGTGACCTTTGCACAGATCACGCAGATACGACCACTTGACTTGGGAAGCGAATGGTACCATCGCATTTTCGTGACAGCAACATTGATATGACCTGTGACACTGATAATGCTCGCACAGGCAACCAACCAAGCAGATGCTAGTTTTAGTGCTAGCCAGACTGAGCGAAGCGTGTGTGGATACCACCCACCAGCGCTGGCCGCGCATGAGCACTGGATCATGGAGCACGAGGCGGGAATCAGTTGCTCCAAAAAATAATAGCAAAGCCGATCGAGGCATATAGGTTCAGTAGGAATTTTAGGAGTAATTCCTTTTCCTTCTCCCTCTCTCTCTCTTTATTTCTGTCCTAGCTGTTGGCATTCAGATATTGTGGAACATCAAACACGATGTACCTGTACGTAGGCATAGCAGTAGCCCTCACGGCGCTGGGCTACTTCGTACAGCATAGGCGTCGCAAGCGCGATGAATTCAAGAAAACTACCAAGAGCGAGTTTGCCGATCGCGGAACGCGCTGGAGCAAAGACCAGCACGAGTTCTATGTGGAGCGCTTCTACGAGACTGGCCTAACGGGCACGCACGATTTCCACGGTGGCATGTTGAACTTCGGCTTTTGGACGAATGGTAACAAGGACTACATCAAGGCGGGACACGAGCTACTGTCACAGGTTGCTGATCCGGTGAAGCTGAACGGGGAGAGCACCCTACTGGACGTGGCCAATGGCATGGGCGCTCAGGATGTGTTCTTCATGAAGAAGTACAGCCCAGCGCACATCGACATGATCGACCTGACGCTGAGCCACCACCTGATTGCCAAGAAGCGCATGCAGGACAACAACTTGCAGGACCGCGTGACCGCACACTACGGTAGCGCCGTGGACTTGCCCTTCGAGGACAACAAGTTCTCTCACGTCTTCTCGGTCGAGGGTGGCGCTCACTTCCCCACACGCGAAAAGTTCTTCGGCGAGGCTCTCCGCGTGCTGAAGCCCGGCGGATGGATGTCACTCGCCGACTATGCTATGCCCAAGCGTCCCACCGGTATGTTCGAGAACATGTTTGCGCGCCTGTGCGCCAAGCTGTGGAACGCTCCCCTGGAGAACTGGTACGGCTGCGAGGACTTCAAAACGCGCATGGAAGCTGCAGGGTTCGTGGACGTGGTGGTCAAGGACGTTGGAGAGTACACCATACCTGGCTACTACGAGGAGTCGGTGCGGCCGGAAATCCTGGCGCAGTTGAGCAAGATCCGCGGCTGGTTCACCACCTACGTTGCGTGCCGCGTCCTGGACGAGCTCATCCTGTACGTCTACAAGAAGAACATTCTCACGTACGTCATCGCGTACGGCCGAAAGCCGTAGTCAGCACCGGAACTTGTTCCGTTGCAAGTCTAGAGCCGAATCCTATAGCTTGGCTTCTGTCACATTCTATTCCTCACACGACTGCTATCTTCCATCGCGAACAGCATGTCGGCTGTATTGCAGTCATGTACTAATGGGACCTGGAGACTCACGGTGAACAGTTCTCAAGATGATCGCCACATAGTCTCTTATCTTCACGTTTCCGTCACTTCTCGTTTGTCACTTCTGATCTCATCTCATCTCAGTCTGCCTTTTCTTCAAACTCACATTCTTGCATCATTTTATTGTTCTACTGTATTGGTCAAATCTATTATTCTGTTTACGTCGTGATGCAAATGGATCATTAGTCCGACCCATCATACTTTCTTCTCCATGTACATATATGGTGCGCGCTCGTATTTGGTTGAATTAGCCATCAGGGCATTATGAATGAAGGTTGAGCCAGTAGCATTGGGCCATGTTCTAGACTACTTCAGTGAAATACATGCACTTTTTTACTTTTCCTGTCTTTTATGACACCTTCTCCGTTGGGGTGTCATCTTAATTTAATATTGCTGAGTTTTGGTAATGGGCACAAGTGCTCTTGAGGTCGGGGAAGTCCAAGTGCATTTCATTTTACTCATCACCAGTGAGCGGATGGTTCTGGTGTTACATGCTCTGTGTGTGTGTGTGTGTGTGTGTGTGTGTGTGTGTGTGTGTGTGTGTGTGTGTGTGTGTGTGTGTGTGTGTGTGTGTGTGTGTGTGTGTGTGTAGAGGCATGTATGTCCATACGGGATCATCATGTTCATGTGCTGGCTGCCTTAGAACCCTTTGTGACTATCAGGATTACAAAATTATAAATGTGCAGTTGCAGTTGCAATACTGGCTAGCAGAGGCTTGAATGCACTTGGGTTTTTGGAGTGTTGTCTGCCATTTTACAGACTATTATACATGTACTGGTAGAGAGCTGTATGTGGAGTCTTCAACCAATGCATTGTACCTGGGAGTAGTGTCATTATGCGCTACATACTGCCAGTTTCATTATTTCAAGCTTTGAGTCTTCTTCCCTCATTCTGTAGACTAGTCTTGGTCGTACATGTACTTACGAAGTTAGTTACTGTCAGTACGAGGTGAATTGCTATTTCTGGACATTGTACATTTCTGGACATTTCGAGTAAAATAATTTTTCATCGCGTGTAGAGTCAAGTCAGTCAGGTTGGTGAAGTTTTTTCTTGTTGTAGTTGACAGCTGGGCTGTTGTAGTTTCTCCTCGTGTCGGTGCCTTGTTGATAGCCTTTTCTTGGGAGGCATTTCAACGAGTTTTGTGGTACTATGTCGCATGAGAATTTTGAATTTTGAGTAAAATAAGAAGTAATGGACGAATCGTTGGCTTCCCCCATGTGCACTCCACTTCAGACGCTGTATAGTCTTGGATCTGTTGGCTGGAAGTGTGAAGAGGCCAATTGCAGTCCACCAATAGAAAAAATAACAAAAATAGTGCAGTATAGGATGCCTATTGACGCTATTTTACTTTCATGTCCAGAATTCCATACACTGGTGAAATTTAGGCCAACAAATTGGCCTGTCGAAAACATCCTGCTATAAAGTCTCTGGGATCACAGCATGAGCAATTGTCACATATTTGCAAAGATGAAGGATTAGGCCATACAATAGATACAAAAAGATATGAAAAATGTAAAACACACAGCCATTGCATGCATGCAGGCCTCTATTTTATTTTCATGTCCAGAAATAATAATTATTGCTATTCACCTCGTACTGTCACAGTGTCAGCCAGATCTGTAACCATGGTATTTTTGTGCAGGGAGAGCAATGGCGAATTTTTTGTTCAGTGACCATGGTAATGTGACAAAATCATGACCCCGGCCACCGGTGCACCGGGCGCTGCATGCGCAGAGGCAGTGGCTGTGGCTGTACATGTACCATGGCACGGCTTTTCCCTTTTTCGAAACGTCGTTGACCATGGTTGACGCGATCATCAGGCGATAGGTACTACTACTAGGTACGACAGGACACTTGACAGTAACATAATTATTTTGTTGCTTGATTGATGTGTTCTTTTTTGTTTACAGTTTAGTCACACTTGATGATGCAGGCGCCCCTAGGCGCAGGATAGAAACACCAAAAATCCATTCACATATCGTCTCTCGACAGCATAAACACCAGCGCAACACCTCCTGTTGATAGTCTACCTGAATCCTACATTGGCTTGATTTCAGCGTACCTAACGTAACAAGCTGAGATGATTCAGTAGCTGTTACAAAAATAATGATGTTGGTGACCTGGTGACTTGCTCTAGCTCTCTCTCTGGCAGTCTCCTCCACGGCTCCAGGAAAATATGCAACACGGTTTGAAAGAGAAGCATTTCCTTACAAGTAACAGATAGTTACATATCAATCATTGTACATGATTGTTTAGACTACATCCACAATATACTGAAGATTTTTTGTTACAAAGAGTAGTCGTTGTGTTTGCTAGTATCGGTAGACACTCTGCCCGGCTGTAGCCTAGGCGAGTGTAGGCTGCACATGGTTCGTGGACTAATCAGTGATAGGAGCGGAGTACATGAAAGTGGCCATTCGCTATGTAGAGAGCTTTGCGGTGCGAATGTCTTTCCAGCAGTGAGAGTCGCTCACCCGTCAACAGCAACTTTGCTGGTACTACTACTAGCAGCAAGAGGGTAGGTCCGATCGCTGAAATGGCCACTCGCACTCGCAAGCAACGCAAGACAAGCGCACAGAAATCAGATGAGTCCACAACACCAACGGACGTTACGGCAAAGGATGGAGAAGCAGTGGCAAAGCAACCCTTCGTGATGATGTCGACCAGCAACGCCAGTATCATCAAGGAACTGGTGAGTCCGCCGCATGGTGCAAATACTAGGATTTCGATTCATTCTTACTATGCATGTATGCTACATGTACATACGTGGGTATTTCATGGGTTCGCCATCAAGGTGTGCGTCTCATGAAGTTCTTTGCCAAGTGCTATGAGTATGAGTATCATAAGCCTTGCCCGTGAATTCAGGAAATGAGAGTACATGACTGTATGCTACAACGCTCAAGGCGGAGAACCTGCTGTAAGGAACAAGTGCTCCTGACGAAGCACAGTAGCTATACTGGCCGATATGAAAATCAAAAACAAAAACAACAACTAGAAACTACAGTCAAGGCCAAAGACATCTGATCCAAGAATCAAAAGTAGTGCCGCCGCATTTCCATTTCAATTACATCATGCACGGTGCAGAAGAAGCCCATCCCAAGGGCCGCGTGAGCCTTGGCGCAGTTTTCGGGCTCACGGATCATATTTCCACCATTAGGTAGCTGCTTAATATCCCTCGTTATTCATGGGAAGGGAAGTGTGGAATCTTACCCTTAACTTAAGAATACAGAGGTTATGAACTAGGGCCACTGTCCTAAAGGTTCAGACAGACGCACACACCGAGGCCCTACCAGCCAGTTTCCGCTTGTACACATAGTCAGGAGCATGGTTTCTTTCAGTGGGTCCTGTGCCACCTTGTCCCTTGCTTTTCTTGTCATGCCTACAACTTACAAGTAATAGTTCTTGTGACGTTGCATTCAAAAGGTTTGTGTACAATGAAAAGGATCCCGTGCATACCCGCTCTCCTTTATACGTCCATTCCACGCAGCAGCCACCCTCAGTCGCCTTGGCAACTTCCTGCAAATGCCAACAATATCTGTGTGTGTGCATGTGCGTGTGTGTGTGTGTGTGTGTGTGTGTGTGTGTGTGATTGCCATACAGTGTGTTGTAAATGGCCTGGAGTACTGTGAACAGATGCAAGAAACGGTCAGTGTGGTGGCAGTACGCTGCATGCCCGCTCACAGCCTGGAGTGCTTCTTCTTCGGAGTACCACGGATGCCCAGCATGCATGTCTTCACGGGGCTGCGTGTGCTTCGTCTGGTGAGTCATGCAGTTATGCTCAGTACAGTTGAGTTACCGAAGTACAATATACCATGCCATGCCACACCATACCATACAATCCAATGCCCCTGTTGTGTCCCGCCCAAGGCAGACCAAGTCAAGGAATAGATGAGTGAAACGCAGCGGCTTTTTTAAAAGGGCCTGGCTGTAACAGCAGTGCGAGATGGGCACTAGGTAGAATAGATAAAGTGTGAAGTTCAGCAGTGCAAGTATTGGTGCATGGCATCAGGTATCAACTCTCTGTGTGAAGTTCATCCGAGTGCAAGTATTGCAAGTAGTGCATCAGGTATCAACCCTCTGTGCCGGTGAAGTTCAGCCGAGTGCAAGTATTGGTGCATAGCATCAGGTATCAACCCTCTGTGTGAAGTTCAGCAGTGCAAGTATTGGTGCATGGCATCATGTATCAACTCTAGCAGTCTCAGTACTTCATAGCCCACTAAGGTGCCAGCCATGAACAAGAAAGGTGCCACCTACCACCACCGGCAATTTGACGGTGACATCACCTTCTCGCACCACAGTTGCATACTGGTGTACTAGTGCGTACATGCATATCATGATCCAGTCCCACTGCAGCTGTGCTGTGTGAAATCCAACCCAACCGGTGCAGATTTCCAGTGGTGCTCTGGATTTGTGTGACCCTTGACACCCTGGATGTGGTGCCGCGGATGCTGCTGGACGTGCACATGTACAAGCACAGCGATGTTTTGGGAACTGATCCAGGACGCCAACTTTGTACCTTGGATCTGATTTCACTCAGCGCAACTGTAGTACTTAATGAACATCACTTTTAGTTTCAAGGCTGGCAGTTTCCCAAGTTCTCACTCTATGCCCGTAACATACCTGCATGCAATTTGCTGGCACTTGATTATTTCCTGTTGTCTAGTTATTGCGGCCTGAGCGAATAATTCAGCGTAACAACAGTTTTCAGAAGCCTTGGTTCATTGCTCTGGTGTAAACGGTTATGAGAACATGTGCTGTTGCTTGCATTCATACTTCGAAGGAATTTCATGGGGTTATACTCTAGATGTGAAGCTGTGCTAATTTGAACTCTGGTTGTGAGCCAGTAGTCTGTGTGTGGCCATCCGATGATTATTTGTATTTCTGCAGGTGAATCAGACTGTCGACATCATCGATGGTCTTAGCGAGTGCACTGAACTGGAGGAGTTGTGGATAGCAGAGTGCAAGGTCATGGTAAGTAACTTGTTTGCTGCCAATCCAGCATAATGACTGTGGTCGTGACAAACGCTAGCAATGGCAAAGGCAGTCTGGTCTCAGTCCGTGAAGTGCAGCCGGCAGGCTAGGGCTTAAACGCAGTATGGGTGCGTGCTCAGACCTGGTGGGACCATATGCATGGTCTCACCGGGTTTGAGCAAGGACCTTCACTGCATTGTGAATGGACAGACTAAGCCGGTGAAGATGGTATCAACAGAATTAGGACTCAGACTTTTTAAGAGTTTACCCAATGCTAGTGTGGATAGGTGACTCAAAGCGATTGCTGTCATCACCCTTGTCCCGGCGCATTGCTGCTTTTGTTGTCAGTAGCGGATGATGGCACATGCTGTTGTAGTTGTTATTGTTGGTTGCTATCTGAAATACTACAATAATGCTTAAGTTTTCCGCCAATATCAGGTGCAGCTCAAGTTGTGACATAGGTAATTCAGTGACTATACCTGTGCCCACATGAGTTTGTCACATCTCAATACGTTGAAACTGAGTACAGACAGTGATGCAGGATTTCGCAGCCACCTCACTGTGTGCAAATCGACAAACATCCACAATGGCTTGCCCCCTTGATGTGCGTTTCTGTTCAGAAAATTCAAAAACTGGACACTCTTGTCAACCTGCGAAAGTTGTACCTCTACGCAAACCTGATCAAGAAAATAGAAGGCCTGGATAAGCTACGGCACCTGGAAGTCCTGTGGTTGGCAAGCAACTCAATATGTCAGTTGGAAGTGAGTACTCTTGTGCATTGTTATTGCTGAAATTATTTAAGTTTCCGTGCACGCATGCCTGACTTGTGGGCTCGTGCATGGAAATCCTGTACGCTCCGTTGCACTGCGCGATGGTCCTGTACGCACTAGCTGCTATCCGTGAAGCCGGCGCTGTAATACACTGCCAGCATGTCAACTCGGAATGATTTTTGGTTCCCAGCTCCTGCGCCTGATGTTCTCCTTCTTCTCCACCCAAAGTTGTTCAAGCTCTTGTACTTCGAAGTACTAGCACATCAGGCCCGTCGCAGCGACTTTGGAGGTGAGGCGGCCATGAAAGGGGGGGGGGGGGTCCGGGGGTTGTCCCCCGGGAAAAAATTTCAAAAATTGAAGCCAATTGCAAGCATTTCCGGGTATTTGGTGCCATTTCAGTGGACGGTAACTACAATGAAAGTCTTTTTGATTCTGCAACAAACGAAGAAGACGCTACGATCGGGGACAAACATTACCCTCCCCCGGGAAAAAAATTCAAAAATTGAAGCCAATTGCAAGCATTTCCAGGCATTTGGTGCCATTTCAGTGTAACTGCAATGAAAGACTTTTTCTGCAACAAACCACGATCGGGGACAAGGATTTGTCACGTTTGCGCTAAGCTGCGATCATTGTGCTTTGTTGTAATGTGCTACAAAAAAAAAAAAAAAAAAAACGGCCGAAAAAGTGGGGCGGCCTTGCACATTGGAAAGGCTTCCTGTCTGAAGCCTTTCCATACTGGTACTCGATGTTCCAGTTTTGTGACACGAGAATGGCACGAGAATTAGTGTACCGCTGAGTGTACCGCTATACACGTGGTCGACACGTTGTCGACACTTTGTTGACACGTGACCCCGTCAGCGGTCTGCTTTGTGCCAATGTGCAATGCAGAAGTCGACGAAGACGAACGAGGAGGCCCCTTTCGGTACCCCTGACGGGAAGGAGAATTGCAGAAGTCGACGAAGTGGAACGAGGACGCCCCTTTCCGTACCCCGTAATGTGCAATGCAGAAGTCGACGAAGACGAACGAGGAGGCCCCTTTCGGTACCCCTGACGGGAAGGAGAATTGCAGAAGTCGACGAAGTGGAACGAGGACGCCCCTTTCCGTACCCCGTACCGCAAAGTGCCATTGATGAATGTCTTCTGCACCTGGAACGCCCCGGAAACGCTGTCGCGTAGGCGGACTGAATGCGCAGGGCAAAAAGAATTGCTGCAAAGACGTCCGCTCTAGGCCTTTGGAGACATCGTGGGAACTCCTTCCGGCACCCCCGTACCGCAAAGTGCCATTGATGATCGATGAATGTCTTTTGCAAGTGGAACGACCCCGTAAACGCTGTCGCGTCGGCGGGCTGAATGCGCAGGACGAAAAATATTGCTGCAGAGACGTCCGTTCTAGGCCTTTGGAGACATGGTGCGAACTCCTTCCGGTACCCCCGTACCGCAAAGTGCCATTGATGAATGTCTTCTGCAACTGGAACGGCCCCGTAAACGCTGTCCCGTCCGCCGACGAAAAATATTGTTGCAAAGACGTCCGCTCTAGGCCTTTGGAGGCATCGTACCCCGTCGACGAAAAGTGCCATTGAGAATGCACTGACCTGACGCTGTGACGGGGAGGAGAACGGCAGAAGTGGACACAGACGAACGAGGAGGAATCATGACGAGCGAGCAATGGCAGGACTGTAAGTAATAGCTCAATTAGAAATGAGAACTTGACATTCATGGCACTTGCCACTGCATATTTCTTGTCCACTCACAATGTCTTTCCTCTGCCCCTGTGTGCCCACGGCCCTGTTGCTGCACTGGCCCGATGAATCGAATGTCTTCTACAACTGGAACGGGCCCGTAAACTCTGTCGCGTCGGCGGACTGTATGCGCAGGACGAAAAACATTGCTGCGAAGACGTCCCCTATAGGCGATGGTAAGGCATCCCTTGATATGTTGCCAGTGTGTGCCATGATATCGCGCGATGGTGAATGAGGAATGATGAAGGGTAGACCTACGGTGGGACGGTATACCTGCTATCTTCCAACACGTTATCAGGTCGACAGCGCATTGTACTCACTCTATTCTTGTAGTTCGTTACGTTTAAGGTGTGTGTGTATATCTTGCCAATAGTAAAATGGTGTACAGTCGCACGCTACAGACGCCATGTTCATTTGTAGGGTTTGCAAACTGTACGTGAAGAAAGAGAGCATGCCGCCATCTTGCGTTCTCAATGACTTGCACCTTCACCCTGTACCCCAGTGCTTGTCGCGACTAAATTCATTCGAAAAATTACTCATTCAAAAAGTGGAACCCTTCCAGACATGTTACAATAATAATAATAATTCGCGGGATTCGCGTTGGCATCGCTTGAATGTTCAGAAACACACAAACTAGCCTTCGCTTCCGCAGGCCACCACTATGCCTATGCCTTGCACACCTGAGTGGCGAATGCAGACCTCACAAGTGAGTCAGGGGAGAGTAGGTGAGTCTCTCAACCAATCGGGCGTGTAACGGCCCATAACCCTGTAAACTGCATCCTTGTTACCCTCACTCCGAGCTGTGAGTACCCAGTTGACCGTGGGTGTCGGCGCAGTTCACCACGCATAAAAAGTCTTTACTCACGTAAAAAGTCTTTACACGCTCCCTGCTACCAGCGCGGGTCTCGAACTCGGGACCTCATGATTCGCAGGCAGGCCTGCAAACCAATCGGCCATATGCGTTGGTCACATGTTACAAGCTAGACACAAAGCATGGCAGTCGACCGCATTCATAGCGAGTGAGGTGCCACGAACAAAATACTCCACCTTCCATTGCCAATTGACGACAACCCGCATCTCATGCATGACTTGTGTACTGACAATACAAACATCATAGCGAACTGTGTACCAACCAGTGCAGTGCGAAGATTGTCTGGAAGCACCTTGTCTAAAAATCTTGCGAAGATTGTCTGGAAGCACCTTGTCAGGCCGAAGGTTGTCGTCGCAGCCTTGCAGTGGTTATCTGAGGAGGCGAGACGAAAGACTCATGAATTGCTTGCACATTTGTACCAGTTGTACCGGCTATGCGAGTGCCATGGTGACAAACGCAGGTTCTTGTTGAGCTTTGAGACACATGTCAGCAGGGCGTTGTTGCATCACTGACCTCTTGCAGTCATTCCGTGAATGATATTTTGCGCGAGTTTGCATCGCACGCAGCATCGCAGATCGTGTCAAATTACGCATCACACTGCAAAATTGCTCCTCTGCATGCAAGTGGATTTCATTGCACTTCTCAGTTTGGGAAATGCTCGAATATGATAATTCTGCATGTGAGTGCACTAGCCCTGAACATACATGTAGGTGACCCGTTTGTGGTGTCTCATAGCCTACCTCATGACCTTCTGCTTTCTTTCTGCATCACTTGTATCTTGCAGGTATATCGTCCTGTGACGACCACATTGAAGTCTGAATTTGAAGTGTGAAGATGCTTCAGCAACCACATCGTACTTTTCCATTGCTTTCATTGTGCTTCTACTGTGCATGTGTGTAACTTGTGGGGTATACTTGTGATGACATTGTGTGCTGGCGACACGGCCAGATTTTGTCCATGCGTGTAACGTACACCTGCATGTTATGCATTGAAAAGGATCTGCCACTTACGATCCTGGGACGAGTATTAGGTCAGCTTTGTCTGGTGTGGGCTGTACCAGATTGCTGTTCACTTCTCTATCTGTTGGATATGTGACTTTCTGCAAGGTTCTGGTGTATGGTGGCCACTTCCTTGCTTGTCACTTTGTATGATATTACATGCTGTATTCGCTGCTTCCATGGCGTGGTCTGCAAACTGCAATCCTTGAGCAAATGTCATGTTTGCTATGTTGTGCTTTGGCCGTCAGCTTGTCTACACATTGTACAGTCAACTTCACGTATAACGATACTCGGCCGGGCATCAGAAAAGTGTCCTTATTCGCGAAGTGTCGTTATACCCGAAGTCCCATTATATGATTGTATTACAGTTGGATGGGACTTTGCTCTGGGCATGGAAATTCTGTCGTTATTCGCGAATTGCCATTATATCCGCAGTCGTTATTATCGAAGTTGACTGTAGTTGAATTATTTTGTTTCACATCTGACTTCCTGAAGTACGGTGGCCACTGCTTTGCATGGCATTATACATGAAGAATTTCCTGTTTGTGTCGTGTGCATGTGCGTATGTGTGCGTGGCCACATGCGTGTGTCGTGTGCACCCGCGTGTTTGTGTATCTGTGTGCGGGGTAGCGAGGTGGGGAGGGCTGGTATGTATCAGTGTGTTATTGCAGTCTCATGGCTACATACAGTACATCGCGCACGTGCTCATCATGTTCACCTTCGGGGTTGGGGTGGGGAGGGAACGGAAAAAGAACTGAAATTATCCATATAAAAATCGCTCTGTGAGCGGTTCTGAAAAACCTTTACTGGTACTGCCCCATCGTAAAAGTAAGAAATTAGAACTGGAGCATTGTCCCCCCAAATGCGAACAGATCCACCTAAATCGCGAATGACGGGACCCGAACGCACCAGTAGCACGAGGTTCCTAGCTGTGGATGCAGATGGGGACGTTGGTCCAGACCATAGGCCATGGTCGTCGATAATTGCACGTGTACTAGCAATACACTGCCACTGATACAATGTGCAATGTACTGCACTATAGTAGTGGTGGTGTTACTCTATGATAATTGCTGTGATCATATGCCCTCCCGACCTCGTGCTACTGGTGCGTTCGGGTCCCGTCATTCGCGATTTAGGTGGATCTGTTCGCATTTGGGGGGACAATGCTCCAGTTCTAATTTCTTACTTTCACGATGGGGCAGTACCAGTAAAGGTTTTTCAGAACCGCTCACAGAGCGATTTTTATATGGATAATGTACATGTAGCTCGTATTTCTCGTTCCGTTTGGACATGTGCAGCAATATGGAGAGGCTGGATCGTGACAAGTGCAGTGCTGGTCATTGTGCTGTGACAACGTGGTGTTGTTTGGAATCTATTTGATGCTGTGTCCACTGCCAGTTTGTGATTGCTCGTACGGCATGCGAGAGTAGAAGAGCCTTCAGAGTACTCTTCATAGGTCGATCGTGTCTGTCAAGCATATACCGATCCTGTCAGCAAAGGGAATGTGGCCCGTTTTTTTAAAAGGAAAAATGACACAAAACACTGTGGTGAAGATAAGCGCACATTGCGGCAGCGCAGAGGAAGTACATGTTTGATTGGAATGTGGTGTTGCATGCCCCGCTTTCACTGGATACGTTCTAGGTGATGTTTCCTGTTGCTCTTTCCATGTGGCTTGCAGAATCTGGAAAGTCTTGTCAACCTGGTGGAGTTGAATATAGCGGCAAACAACCTAACACAAATAGGTGGGTGAGATCTTTTCTACACATACAACATGTAAGTGTGGGTCTCTTCAAATCTCTGGACCAAGCCACACTATTCCTATGTTCTTTGCAAAGCTGTCAGTGGCCGATAGACATGTAATATTGTATTTTCCGGGGTGTTGGCCGCACTTTAAAAGAAAGGATCTCAAAATATCACCCCTGCAGCTTAGACTCCGGATGTGAATTGACCAGCGCTGCAGCACTCCAAGCATAGAATGCATGTATGGTGTCATTCAGCTACTTTTTGTATTCTGCAGTCCATCATTGTAGTAGTGCGAAGCTTCTTTTTAAATGTTGTCAGTTCTGAGTGAAGGACAAACTAGGCAACTTTTCTAGAACTTCAGTCAAGCTTCTCCACTTTTTTAAACTATTGGTAACATCTTGTATGTACCGCTAGTCCGCTACCCATTTTAAAGTTGGGTTGTCAAATAATTCAAGGTCTGGCTTGCGGCTTTTACACCGGTCGAATGTCAACAAAAATACGAAATTTGTGCCCAGACCGGGGGTTGCAGCTTAGATCCCGGTGCGGCTAACACTCCCGAAAATACGATATTGTGTGAGTATTGATCTAACAAGCAAAATTCCGGTGGAACAAAAATAAATCTCAGCTGAGAGTCTCATGCTCCAAAGCAATCCTCAGGAGACTGGCTGAATCTGGCAGAGAAAAAGAGGAAAAGAAAGGAAGAGGTGAGAGAGTGTGTGTGTGTGTGTGAGTGAGGGGGAGAGTGAGTGGTTGAGCTGCATCCGAATTGTTTTACTTCGTGCACTGTGTACTTTCTTGCCAGGCACGGCTCTAGACAACAACATGCTCTTGGAATCTCTGAATCTTTCTGCCAATCCCATCATGTCATTGCAGGCAAGTACATTTACATGCATGAATCCCTAAATCCTAATGCATGCACCGTCTGTTGTTGAAGACGCCGTACTGAAGCATCGTCGACCAAACATTGTATATGAAACAGATCGTGCTCATGTAATGTTTCAGGGTACTACAGGGCATTGTTTGTTGGAGTACCTTATATCGATGTATTCCATGCTAGTACTTGCTTCACTGCTGACCAGGCTTATCTTACCCACAAGTCACGGTTTGCAACTTATCGTCATGTCGCTTTCTTCCTATAGCGATGTAGCATGTGTAAGACTGTCAGTACCGTGTTTTCCGGAGTATGAGCCGCACTGGAGTATACCTCCCATTTTTTGCCATGAAATACACGGGCATCTACCCCTTTCATCATTGTTAAAGGGGAAGTTAAGGCAAAAATTAAAATTTCACCAGTTGTAGTCTTCGGTGTGCTGAGTCGAATGGTCGTGGTCCGAGGAAGCTGAGACGCTCCCTTCCTACTTGAATCCCAATCGAACTCGCGGACTTCCACCGAAACTGGGTGACTGCGCCCTACTAGATGGGGATTTGTATGCAAAATGTCACTAAAAGCGCCATTTCGTTCTTATAAAAGCACGGATGACCGCGATTGGCCCATGTGTTGTACTCTTTTGGACGCTGAGTCGACTGGTTTTGGTCCGAAAAGGCTGCGATGCAGCGTTCCTCCTTTATTCCCAATCGAACATGGTTGAACAAGTGGTCACGTGCTCCTGGGTGCCCAAATCACCTGGTCACCACGCCAGCAGGCGACAACTTTCACACCAAGGTTCAACTCGAGTTCAACTCGAGTGACAGGACTGCACCCAAAAAAGGTCAAACAGGCTAGTAAGTTGTACCCTGCAGGCACGGTGACCAGGTGACTGGTGTACGCAGGAGCACGTGACCGCATGTTCAACCATGTTCGATTGGGAATAAAGGAGGAACGCTGCATCGCAGCCTTTTCGGACCAAAACTAATCGACTCAGCGTCCAAAAGACTACAACATATGGGCCAATCGCGGTCATCCATGCTTTTATAAGAACGAAATGGCGCTTTTAGTGACATTTTGCATACAAATCCCCATCTAGTAGGGCGCAGTCACCCAGTTTCGGTGGAAGTCCGCGAGTTCGATTGGGATTCAAGTAGGAAGGGAGCGTCTCAGCTTCCTCGGACCACGACCATTCGACTCAGCACACCGAAGACTACAACTGGTGAAATTTTAATTTTTGCCTTAACTTCCCCTTTAATGTGATCATCGGAGTATAAGCCGCACCCTCCCCCTTGTTTTGGTGAATATTTGAGTGTTCAAAGTGCGGCTTATGCTCCGGAAAATACGATAGTCTGTCCTCTAATGTTCTTGTCTAGTAACTTTAAGTCCTTGGTATGTTCGGGCCTGGTTTAAATCTGGCTTTGGAAAATTTAATTTTCATTGCTATCAGGTTCGGCCTCATTTCCTCTGTGCTGCGCTGATGAGTCCACAAAGGACGAAGCAGTTCTGTCCGCAGATTGAGTCCACAAAGAACGAAACAATTCTGTCCGCAGATTGAGTCCTTGCGTAGTACAAAACCTTTTCCAAACCTCTATATTTCATCATAGCCTATGAGTTGTGGCATCATTCATATCCACAGCCAGAAGGCAGCGATGCCTGTACCTATGGTGAGGTAACATAGAGATAACATAACATGTCCACACCTCCCACCCCTCTCAGCCTGAAAACAATGCAACCTCGTGCCTGACCTCTTTCTGTGCAAACAGGAGATCTCTAACTTGTCTCGGCTGGGCAAGCTACGGCAGCTGCGTATCCGTGACAAGCGCTATGCCTCCAGCGGCATCACAGAGCAGCCCAACGCCACCACTCAGATCCTCTTTCACCTGCCCAAGCTGGCCTGGTTGGACGGTGACAATGTAGCTGTGTCTCAGATTCGCGATACGGTCAATGTAAGTAGCTATCCCGCATATTGCACTGCTAGTCTCTTCAGCCTGTATACTCTGTTCTTGGAGGAAGTGCTTACTGTCAAAGTCACACAGAGTATCTGCTATGGGATGGATTTGGCCCGATTTTAAGAACGCAGCAAAAAGGTTTTTAAATACCACTGGAAGGTTATGGTACAAGTTACAGTGCTCCTTCTTGGTTGTTTTTTTTTTGGAATGATGCATGCATAACCTGTATTATCAACCTGATTGTATTGCTGAGGGAGGTTTGGGACATGCTTATTGATGCCTGTGATTTGTGTTGATAAAGTTAAAGGAAAGTTCTGTTACCGACCACTGAGGCATTCAGACGGCCACTGCCACCCGGAGTAATCCAGCGGCAGATGTAGCAGCGCCCAACCGTGGTGGTGGTGATGGTGTGTGTGTGTGGGGGGGGGGGGGGGGGTGGGGGGGAGGTGAGTCTTGATCTGTCTCATTCAGATCTTGTCCGCTATCGTTGCTATAAAAGAAAATCTGTGGGTGCAAATCCAGTGCATTTGCAGATTTGCGGCTTCTTTTGCGACGGGCGTACTCATGGTGGTGTATGGTGATGGTGTGTGTATGGGGGGAGGGGGGGGGGGGTGAAAGGCCGTGGCAGGCATCGCTTACATCTTGCGACTGTTGGCACAAGTGCTGAATGTCCCATTAGCTGCATCCATGAACCCCTTGTGCCTCACCACAAATTCCGCGAAATGGGATTTCCATTGTTCGAGTGCTTCTTTTAGATAGGTTATTCCAGCCATCCTGCAAATCAGTCAATACTTGGGGAAAAGGAGAAGGGAAAGCCTAGGCCAGACAAAACTGGTTCGAGGCAATGCACACCATAGCTCCAAATCAGCCTAGGTCAGTGCCACTGTACATCATGTCATACTATGTATATGCTTGCTGTCTATTGCAGACCATTGTTGGCAAGAAGCTGACGTTCTATCGGCAGCAAGATGAGGCCCTGCGGAGAACTGCTCATCATTTGCAGCGACAGGTACTACTACCCCAGCACCACACCGCATAGTGACATACGCATAGTGACATACGCATAGGGACATACGCATAGTGACATACGCATAGTGACATACGCATAGTGACATACGCATAGGGACATACGCATAGTGACATACGCATAGTGACATACGCATAGTGACATACGCATAGGGACATACGCATAGTGACATACGCATAGTGACATACGCATAGTGACATACGCATAGTGACATACGCATAGTGACATACGCATAGTGACATACGCATAGTGACATACGCATGACGTACACAAAATTAATAAGAAAGAGCGTACTACAACACTACTACTGCTGAGTCTTGATTTTTTTATATTCTTATTTACTAGGGAATTCTCAACAGGCATCATCGCCTTTTTTATAGGGAACCCTAAGAAAGTCTTGATGGATGATCGAAATTCAGCATGATGCCCGACCCCTACCCTTGCCTAGCAGGGCATTTAGTGTGACAAACACATGGTGTTATGGTCTGGTGGTGCATACCGTAATTCCGCGCATATAAGCCCATGGGCTTATATGTGAAATAATGCAGTTTGGGGATAAAATATCCAGTAAAACATGTTCGTTTTTTAGCCCATGGGCCAATATTAGAATTTTGAAGGTTCACGAAAAAGTACAAGTCCGTGGCCATAGTGGGTCTACCATACTCTACTGGTAAACAGCACTGACCCGTCAGGCGAAATTACTGGTCAGTCGGCGACACACATTTTTCACAAAATTTTGCGTTTCACCTGCTGGGAGAGTATGCGTGTACTCGAGTCTCATCCTGAGCACGTTGTTTTCTTCTTTTTTTCAGCTCCAGTATAGCTGTATTTTTCATTGCAAAGCCGTCCTCGATTGTTGTGTTCGTTGTTCAAACGAAGTGGACATTCAATCATGAAGGCAGAGGACATAGGAGCCTGATTGGAGTTTCTCGTGGCATAGGACGCCCACACAGAGACACTTTGGGATTTTCTGAATATAAAATACCGTACGCATGATGCTGAGATCAATTTGTGCGATATCAAATTGTTTGTGATCTACCACATCGAGCAGAACGGGATCCAAACACAAGCTTACCGACGGTTAGGCTGCCGACCTGACTGGACAAATGATCCCTGGCTTCACCAGATGCCAGAAGTCAGACACCATGTCCTTTGCCGCGACGTCCATCTCCAAAAAGAACTCCATCTTCGTCGTGAAAAGGCTTGAAATACTCAATATTCAACCGAGATTCGCGGACTCGCGCTTTCTCGGATCGATTAATTTCCTGTTGGAACAGTTGCAGGGCAGCTTCCAGCCACTGTTTCAACAGGTGATGGCTCCAAAGCATGCCTGGAACAAGCCATATCGAGGTTGCAAGCCACCCCTCTCAGCACAAAATTCGAAGAAATTCGAAATTTCAATGGTGGAAGATATACTATGAAGAGAATTTCAAAAAGTATGTTTCGCGGAGCGATCGCTCAACCTACGTCATTCAAACTTTGCAGGATGGTTCAGACGTACATGCTAGGCATGGAACCACAGGCGGTGATGCCATAGCTGACACACAGAGTAACACACACAGCAGATTCGTGTGCACAGATACTAAATTAGTGGACGTCGTCATCTTCTTCCCGCTGATCTCGAATGTACTATGACGTGCTATTTCGCCTGACGCTGCTGTACCATGGTAGGAAGAGTCCATATTGTGACAATTCTACTTGACACGCGAGTTGCATTTGTGTTGGTTTATTAGTCCATGGACTAAGGAGGAGGTGGGCTTATATCAGGATATAGGCCCGTGGGCTTATATGTGCGAAATTACGGTACAGTATGAGTGTGGTTGTGAGTGAGAGTAGAGCGGCTTATGGAGAGTAGAAGAGAAGGAAACCTGATCTTTATCAGCTCAGTACAACTAGAGGATCACAGGGAATTTTGTACTTAAAATACAATACTCCCTGTGATCCTGTAGCTGTTTCCCATGCTGTGACACTGTCGCTTTCAGTATTAGTGTGATATGAACAGGTATAGCAGACCTTGTCTGACTGAAGTGTCCAATGGAATTATACATACAGTCTACTTAAAGCGTGAACCAGGAAGTCATGGCAACTAGGCTATAGTATCCGAAGTCATGTCATTTTCAACGCCGCATTTGGAGATTCTGTGTGAGGCGTGGTCTATGCAAATTGTGATTGTGAGCACATCCTTGACCGAGCAACAATGTCATATGCAAGAGTGTATAAATCGGTCCTGCCCCAGGGGCGATTGGAAAGGGCAGTCTGGGTGCGAAGGTCGCTCTGTTTCACGTTCTGGCTGCCCGTGTCGTCTTCCTAGATGCCACGACTTTCTGGTGAACACCTATCACAGCCATGTGTTCTCTTCTGCCTTTGGATATGTTCTTTCTGTGTGCGCATGTGTGTGTGTGTGTGTGTGCATGTGCATGTGCGTGCGGTTGCGTGTGTGTGTATGTACTGCTTCCCCATGCATGAAGATGGAGCAGCGAGTTCTGAAGAGTTGTAGCCGACTACATGCAGTAATGAAAGACATTGCCCGTATCCAAGGCCAGGTACGATAACATAATACCCAGCCCATCCATTTCCTTCAGAATACCGCCTTTCGCAATACACCGTACCGTGTATAAAGTACCGAGGATTAACTGACACCGTTACCTTAACTTGAGTTAACCCTTTGTCCTTTCGCCCATACTTGAACCGTACACCTGTGTACGGTTCAACCCACGCATGTTCAAAGCGACCTGGAAGCTACGCGGATCACCCGATCCACATGAAAATTCACGTGCACACAGCCTATGCTATGTAGAGGATGATACACAGGTCGCTGGGGCTAGTTGCCATTTGAAAAATTTCAAGAAATCAAAGTCGAAGTTTGCTCGCGCCGTAACTTCCGACATGGCAGCACGCAGGTCGCTTGATGCAGATGAAGCTCTTGTTTGAGGATAGCTGGAGTGACCCAAGCGACAATCCTATGTCCTCTGATGAAGAGAACGAACTGGACGAAGCCTTAGTTGAAGGTGTTGATTCTGATTTTGATGACAACGCGGAATATGATGTCGTAAATGTCGACCCACCTGTCGGACATGTCGACCTCTCCGATTTGAGCGCAGGATCGGCAGAACAGCACTCGAGTGGTGAAGAGAGTGTACCACCGCCGTGTCTTGCCCGTCGTGGAGCAGCAGGGTCAGCTAGAATGCCGCAGCACGTGGAGCAAGAGCGTAGTCCGATCCCAGAGAGGTCCAGATCTCCGTCACCTGCGCGCCGTCAAACTCATGGTCGACAGCCGCGCAGAGCGAGGAGAGTAGCCGCACGGGGCCGCAATGTCGAGCATGTCGCCACTGGCGCTCCTCTCGCTAATGCTTCGTGTTTGCCCAACATGCAAGGGGTGCTACTCCAGGTCATACTTGTACAAATTGCACATTATTATACATAGTAAAGAACCTGAACTTTGAATTTTGCCGATTTTTGCCAAAAAATCATTTTTGATACTCTTGTTTAGCCACGCCTATCTGAGGAATTCAACCCAAACTGCATTTTTAGTCCACAATTATCATAAGCTTTCAGGAAAACATAAAGTGTACATACAAAATATCAGCTGCTTGGGAATGGTGAGGGGATTTGTTGAAGCAGGTACCCCTCACATACATTTAGGGCAAAAGGACAAAGGGTTAACAAAATTGAAGCCACCCTGTCAGTCAATCCTCGGTAGTATAGTGGTAAGTATCTCCGCCTGTCACGCGGAAGACCCGGGTTCGATTCCCGGCCGGGGAGGACATTTGTTTTGCTCTTCGGCTAGCAAAAAAGTTTTTTCCTAAAAATAAAGTAAATGTAAAAAAGTACTGGAGGATATGGGGTTCGAACCCATGGCCTCTCACATGCAAAGCGAGCGCTCTACCACTGAGCTAAACCCCCAGACATGGAATATTTACACTGCAGTACCAGTTTAATAGTCGAGTCTAATAGCTACAATTCGGGGCCATAGCACTAGCACTTCAGGTGGTCGGGCCGAATGGGATGGATACTGGACCGGAAATGGGCATCATTGACGAAAAAACCATTTGCACAAATTGGGTGGGTCATTTTTTTAAATAAGGTCCGGTCGGACCGGGTACGCCGGAGTGCTGCGGACCTTGTACATGAGGTCACTGGCCATTGCAGGGTATAGTGAGTAGGGTAGCCAAGAATTGTTTCTGCTCTGCTTCACACCGATGTGTTCCACAGCTTGATGCGGTGCTTGTGGATGTGGAGACCACGGAGAGAGAGGAGAAAGAGAGGCAAGCGGCGAAGGAAACTGCGGATGCCGGTATGGAGGGGAAACCAGAGAACATGGTGGCTGAGCAGGCAGGTGACGCTGAGGAAAAACGGCATCCGGATGAAGCAAGTGTGCCTGAAGACAGTGCCACAAGCAGCAGCTCTGGTGTGATGAGTTCGGTTACCAACCGGCATGGCCAGGACAGAGAGAGGGAGGCGAGTGGTTCTTTAGGAGACACCTCTTCTCCTACTGATCCCAACGTCAAGGCACGCGGACACGAGACTGGCCAGGGTGAGAGAGGGGGAGGGTATTTTTGGCATGGCTCTCTATGATTATTGTGATTTGAGTCCCAACCGTGAGACAGTTGAGTAACTCATCAATCTACGTTAATTTCTGACACGGATGTCATGAACACTGGAATCAGTAGAAACTGATACGGCCATGGCCTCATCAGCCGTACCAGTGGCGCCGCATGTACAGGTGCACTAAGAGAAATCCGATCCAAAGTACAAAGCTGGTGCTCTGTAACATCAACCCGGAGTTCCAAATACATCACTGCATTTGCGTATGTCTCCAGGGCGTCAAGGGCTGTGTAAGTCCAGGGCGCCAAACATGCACTCAGTTGAGTGTGATTACACCTAACACAATTATGCTTGCGTGTTTATATGCTTTTGGGGGGTCTGGCTCGTGAAGAGAGGAGAGCGGTGACATCCCAGTACATCAGGGAACAGTGTCGCATGCTCCTGGAAGCCAAGCAGCAAACGGAGACTGAAATCTCACGGTTAGTTCAATTTGTCACCAATCACCATTGCTGGGGTATATAGATGTATACTTGGGGGGGGGGGGCAGTCTTGGAATCGAGGTTTTGTTCCACTTCGGAGATTGTCATGTGGTCCACGTATGTTCAAAAAAGAATGGAAAAAGGTTTGCCTGGAGAACCCGGGTATCGATCCCGGTACCTCTCGCATGCTAAGCGAGCGCTCTACCATGTGAGCTAGTCCCCCTGCACATTGACAGGTGTATCTTGCATGTATAAATCCCAACTGACCAGCCTTAGCAATATTAGCCAATGGGGTCCGGACACTGGTTGTACTAGATGACAGCTTGGCATACTAAGCTGGCTGCTTGCTGTAGCTTTGTGATATTGAAATCCGTTTCAAGGATAGCGTGATGTCAGGTATTCGGACCAGCTGTCATTAGGTCTCGTTTTTGGTAGGAATCGGAGAATCCTTCCTTTCTTCGGTGAGAAGGCAGTATTGCCTGTGCCCTGAGCGAATTGAAATAAAAGAATACAACAACAACAACAACAACAGGTCTTGGGCTTACACGGATCCCCACCAGTGCTCTGCAACAAGTACAGTGAAAACTGTCAAGGCGACCACTCGGAAAAGGCGAGCACCTGTTCTAGAAGATCACTGAAGTGACCAGCACCAAGGGATGTTATTTACTGTCAAACGACCCTGGATAAGGAGACCACCTGGATAAGGAGACCACCTGGATAAGGCGACCACCTGAATAAGGAGACCACCTGGATAAGGCGACCACCTGGACAAGGAGACCACCTGGATAAGGAGACCACCTGGATAAGGAGACCACCTGGTAAGAGTGACCACCTGGATAAGGATACCACCTGGTAAGAGTGACCACCTGGATAAGGAGACCACCTGGATAAGGAGACCACCTGGATAAGGAGACCACCTGGATAAGGAGACCACCTGGATAAGGAGACCACCTGGATAAGGAGACCACCTGGATAAGGAGACCACCTGGATAAGGAGACCACCTGGTAAGAGTGACCACGTATTGAAGGTCCCTAGAGCGGTCGCCTTACACAGGTTTCACTGTATGTAATACTGTTTTCAGTTTCCCGGCCTGGACCCTGGACCCTGGACCCTGGACCCTGGACCCTGGACCCTGGACCCTGGACCCTGGACCCTGGACCCTGGACCCTGGACCCTGGACCCTGGACCCTGGACCCTGGACCCTGGACACGGCATAACAACAACATAACTGCAGATATGCCTAGTGAAGCCCAGGCTCAAAGATAACATATTTGTTGTACCTCGCACCAACCCCGTTACTCGCAGGGCTATGGCTACAAGTACAAACCACCAGCAGTGCCCACTGGGTGGCATGACCGGAGTTCATTGAGCACCACGACAATGTGCCTAGTGA